TTTTAAAGATTTTATTCATTTATTTGAGAGAGAGAGAGAATGAGAGATAGAGAGCACGAGAGGGAAGAGGGTCAGAGGGAGAAGCAGACTCCCTGCCGAGCAGGGAGCCCGATGTGGGACTCGATCCCGGGACTCCAGGATCATGACCTGAGCTGAAGGCAGTCGCTTAACCAACTGAGCCACCCAGGCGCCCTCAAATGAATAAATAAAATCTTAAAAAAAAAAGATTTTACTTATTTGTCAGAGAGAGCACAGTGGGGGCGGGGGTGGCAGACAGAGGGAGAAGCAGGCTCCCTGCTGAGCAGGGAACCCAATGCAGGACTTGATCCCGGGACCCTGGGATCATGACATGAACCAAAGGCAGCCGCGTAACCGTAGAGTCTGCCATCTTAAACAATACTCCTCCAGTGCCTTTTACTTGGCTAGTTATCACCTCGTTTCTCTACTCTCCTGCATGGCAAAACTTCTTGACATCCTTGTCTCGAGCTGTTGTCCACATTTCTCAAATTCTCCCCTCAACCCACCACTCTTAGCGAGGTCTCCAGTGACCTACATGTCACCCAATCCGAAAGTCACGCCTCTCTCATCCCACTTGCCTTCCCTATGGCATTTGACAGAGCCAGCCGCTTCCTCTTCCTTGAAATACACCCTCCCCCACTTTGTGGACATGACCTTCTCAGTCTTCGCCCCCACTCAATGTCCACTTCCTCCCTGTCTCCTCTGCTACCTCCCTCTTTCCTACTCAGCTTCTGAATGCTGGCATGCCCCTGGTTTTGATGCAGATAGGCCACGTCCAAGGACCCAGAGGGGGGGTCCCGCAGAACCAGCCGAGAGGGTCCCTGGCTTCACACAGGATGTAAATCAAACGCGAGACAGCTGGAGGTGAAAGCAGAGTTCACTGAAGATACAGAGGGAGCAGATACAGGTGGAATGTCCACGAGTCTCGGAAAGGAAGAAGCATGAGTCTTTGGGGATCTGGAGTTCTTACTGAAGATGGCGTTCTGGTGTCTTCCATAAGTCACTTACACCCTGGAGCCAGGGGTCTTGGCGTCAAGGTATTTGGAGTCAGGGGTCTTGGAGAAGTTTATGACCCCGCCCAGTCACTCCTTAGATGTTATCTGTTGTGCTGGAAGACTCCAAAGAAATTATTGACTCCTTGGGCGCCTGGATGTTCAGTCAGTTAAACGTCTGCCTTCAGCTCAGGTCATGATCTCAGGGCCCTGGGATCAAGTCCTGCATCAGGCTCCCTGCTCAGTGGGGAGTCTGCTTCTCCCTCTGCCTCTCCCACCCCCCCACTCCTCCCACCCCCACTTGAGCACGCTCTCTCTCTCTCACAAAAATAAATAAAATCTTAAAAAAAAAAAAAAACTATGGTTATTTGCTTTCTAAGATTTCAGTGTCTGTTGCCCTTCCATCACTGTTTATTGGGTTGGGACCTTTTCCTCCCATGTCTATGTTGTTGCTTTCCTGCTCAGTATTGATTCTGCTTTCAGAAATTTCTTCACAGGGTGAGAGACCCTGTGCTGGAAAGATGCCCTGGTAAATCAGCTTTGCAAGTTCGTAGGACTAGAATATTCTAGGCCCTTTTATTTTTTTAAAGATTTTATTTATTTGTTAGAGTGGGCGAGAGAGAGTGAGTGAGAGAGAGCGAGCAAGGGTACAAGCAGGGGGAGCTGCAGGCAGAGGGAGAAG